TTAGTGTTTTAACCTGTGTTTAATGTTTTACACTCCCTTTGTGGAGTCAAGTCTCTCGACCAGATGTCGTTTTTCAAAAAGTTACATTTTGTTCTTCTCCTATATCCTCCCGTCTGAGAAAGCTTATATACCAGAGTAGGGTTCTGACCTATGTCCTGCCAGGGTGTGGGGCTAGGACAGGGGGTGCAGGCTGCCCTGGGCCCAGGTGAAGGCCGGGAGGTGAGCGTGTCCTGATCCCCCACTACCTGTCACGTCCCTGCAGCCTGTGGCTGTCGGCTAGGACGTCTCTGAGGGGCGGCCAAGACTTTCAGCATGGCACGAGCGAGTGGAGGCTTTCCTGGGGGCTGAGCTGTGCCAGAAGGCCCACGGCAAACTCTTCAGCATCCGGGAACAGATGGCCAAGAAGACCATCCCGGTGCCTCCGCCCGAGGTCCACTCCAGAGTGCTGCTCCGAATTTCTAAGATCCCCTGAGGGCTAAGTGGTACAGGCCAGGAAATGAGCGATAAAAATTTCGTTTCGATTATTACCTGTCCCTGTTCATCCTTGGAGTCTCGCTCCAGTCTCTTGTGTCTTGGCTCCAGGAGGGGTTCTGCAGACATGCTTTGCCTCAAGTGCAACATACACAACCAATAAAAGGCAACAACAGTAACAAAAACACGAACCCACTGCCATCAAGTCAATTCCGACCCACAGCGCCCCTAGAGGACAGAGTGGGACTGCACCACAGGGTCTCTAAGGCTGTCAGTCTTCACAGAAGCGACTGCCTCATCTTTCTGTCGCTGAAAGGTGTTGGGTTTGAACTCCTGACCTTTTGGCTACCAGTCAACTGCTTTGTCTACAGTGCCACTGGAGCTCCTTATGTAAGCAATACCAGACTAAAATCTACCCTATATAAAACACTGCTGAAAATTAGTAAGATGAGGAGAAGGAAATCAAATACAAATTGGCAAATGTTATCAGCATTTTAAATATAACAAAGATTCTAAAAAGTTGAGTGAGGAACCGAGAGTTGCTAGCCTTATGATATTGTCGTGTGTGTGGAGAAAAAGCACGTGCCAGTTACACTCATAGCACCAGCGTCAACATGGCAGCATTACCAGGAGTGTTGTTGTTGTTGTTGTTGTTATGTGCCATCAAGTCAGCCCTGACTCATAGCGACCCCTCCTTGGGTTTCCGAGGCAGTATCACTACGGAAGTAGGATTGCCCAACCTTCCTTCCGAGGAGTGGCTGGTGGGTTTGAACCGCCAGCCTTCTGGTGAGCAGACAAGTGTCTTAGCCACTATGTTAGTAAAGTAATAAATAAGAAACCAAGTAGAACTGAGGGTAATTGGGCATGTTATCGTGCTTCAAACTCCAGGAAACTCAAGAGACAGCTTTTGGCAAGGACTCCTGGCTCCCGAGGACAGTTACCTAACAGCAAAAACAGTGGTGGTGGTGGTGGTTGTTAGTTACCGTTGAGTTGGTTCAAAATCATAGCGACCCCGTGTACAACAGAACAAAACACTTCCCGGTCCTGAGCCATCCTCACAAGTGTTGCTATGCTGAGGTCATTGTCACAACCACTGTGTCAGTCAATCAGGGTCTTCCCCCTCTTTGCTGACCCTCCACTTTACCGGGCATGATGTCCTTGTCCAGGGAATGGTCCCTTAGACAACATGACCAAAGTAGGGGAGACAAAGTCTGGCCATTCTCGCTTTCAAGGATCATTCCGGCTGCACGTCCTCCAGGACAGACTTGTTCATTTTTCTGGCTGTCCATAGTACGTTTAATATTCTTCGCCAACACCACAACTCAAAGACATCAACTCTCCTTCAGTCTTCCTTATTCATTGTCCAGCTTTTACATGCCTATAAGGCAATTGAAAACACCATGGCTTGGGTCAGGCGCATCTTAGTCTTCGAAGTGACATCTTTGCTCTTTGGCACTTTAAAGAGGTCTTTGGCAGCAGATTTGCCCAGTGCAGTACGTTGTCTGATTTCTTGACTGCGGCTTCCATGGTGTTGACTGTGGATCTGAGTAGGATGAAATCGCTGACAATGCCAATCTCTTCTCTGCTCGTCATGAAGTTGCTTTACAGCCATTGAAAACCCTATGGAGCAGTTCTGCTCTGACACACATGGTCTCCGTGAGTCGGAACCAAGTGCACAGCAACTGATAACTGGTAACCAGTTTACCAATTCTGAGAAGGCAGAGATAACTCAGAGATTCACAAAGGGTCATCTGCAGAAGAGCCCCTACCTTGAGGGCTGGGAGGAAATGGTATTCAGGAGCTCTGGTGGTGCAGTGCCGAAGGCATCTGACTGCTAGCTGGAAGGTTGGCAGTTCGAACCCACCAGCCACTCTGTGGATGGAAAATGGGGTGATCGAATTCCATAAAGATCTGCAGTCTTGGAACTCTGAGCTGGAATTGACTCAATGGCAGTGAGTTTGTTTTGTTTTTTTGTTTTTTTTTTTGGTTTTGTTATTATCCAACCTAGAAACCAGAGGAGGGCTGGGGGAACGGGAGCTTGGACGCTGGTAGAAGCGTCCTGCCGCTGCTGTTGGTGCCTCCAGGACTCCGAGTCGGGTCTGCGGCTCTGGGATCAGACCTCTGGGCGGGGAAAGAGGTGGACAGTGCTGGTCTCTCTCAGAGTGAAGGAAGTCTGGGAGTCTTGGTAGAGGACCGCCCTGACCCAGCCGCCATTCCTGGCACGAGCAGAACCCCTGAGAAGTGCTGAGTGTCACAGCCCTCCAGCCCCTCCTCAGTTCGTGGCGTGTGGTGTTCCTAGGGCAGGGCTCAACCCTGACTCTGGTACACCATGGCGTATGGCCACGTCAGTGAGTTTGGAATTCCAACCATCTCTAGCCATCTCCAGCACCTGTCCAGTCTAAGCCCATCCGATGAGGAAGCTGGTAGCGGGTACATCCCTGTGGCCATTTCTCACACCTCTTCCCATGACCAGGAGCTTTGGTTGCACAGCGGTTAGACCATTGGACTGTGCTTTAGTTCTCTAATGCTGCTATAAATGGAAATACCACAAGAGGGCAGCTTTAACAAATAGAAAGTTATTCTCTTACAGGTTAGGAGGCTAGACATCCAAGTTCATGGCACTGGCCATAAGGGAAGCCTGTCTGTCTCCTTGTCTCTTGTTCCCAGGAGCATCCTTGGGTCCAAACAACATGCTCTGCTCCTGGCTACTCTTTCTTGGTGGTAGTAGGTCCCCTCACGCCCTCTGCTCCCTTCTCTCTCCCCCTTTTCTTTTCTTTTAGATTTCTGTTGTGATTTCGGTGAAAGTTGACAGAGCAAATTCGTTTTGCGTACAGCAGTTCATACACATCTTGTTCCACGACATTGACTGCGGTTCCCACCATGTGTCAGCTCTCTTCCTCCATCCTCGTCATAGTTACCTCTTCCCTGTGTCCTTCCCGCCAGGCACTCCGGCCCCTGAGCTGTCTCCCTGTGCAAACACTGCCCTTCTGTTCTCCCATGATTGATCACTCCAAGGAGTGTATCTACCTGGTGTAAATGTTCACCCCACATGTCTGTCTAATGTTTGGCTGGAAGCCACAGGAAGGAGTTCAAGTCCAGGCCTGAAGGGTAACTAGGGGTGATATAGTCTTGCGAATCTCACCAGGCTCTATCAGACCAGCAAACCCGGTCATTTTTTATGATTTTGAGTTTTGCTCCATATTGTTCTCCCACTCTATACAGGATCTCCTGCACTGATCCCTCTCTGAGTGGTTGACAGTGGTAGCAGGACACCATCTAGTTCTTCTGGTCTCATGGTCATGTAGGCTGAGGTCTCCATGGTCCACTAGTCCTTTGGACTAACTATTTCTATGCCTCTTTGGTTTTCTTCCGTCTTCTTTGCTCTGGATGAAGAGACCCATTATTGCCTCTAGATGGCTGCTTACAGGCTTTTAAGACCCCAGTTACTACTCATCACAGTGGGATATAGAACAACATTTTTGTGGAGTATGCTAATTAGACCATGGTTTCTATCTTGGTCCCTGACCCACTGTCCTGACAGTACAAGTGTTCTCCGGGCACTACTAACATTTTCCAGATTCTCGGAATTTTCCAGGCCCCCAAGTGGACTTTAAAAATTTCTCTGTGGCTCAGATGGGCAGTGGACACCATCTGCAAGACCGTTAGGTTGTCACAGACTGGCCAGGCCTCCAGAAGAGGACTTGGAAAACTTCCAAGGCCTCATCTGAAGGACAGGTGTTTGATGGGAGCAGAGGAGCCTGGGCCCCAGAGCGTGTATGTGTAGAGAGGACCCCTGTCATCATCTCCTGTTGTCTGTGAATCAGGAAAGTTCACTCAACATCATCACCACCACCACCACCACCACAATGAGAACAATAACAAACACCTGCCACCTAGGGTGTCCCCTGTGGGCTGTGCCTGGTCTGGGCAGCCTGAAATGAACTTGGAAATTTTTCCTGGAGGCTCAGTGGGGGACTGACCTGGCCCTGGTGGGGAAGCGTGTGTGTGCAGCCAAAAGCTCAGAGTCCAGGCCAGAGGAGGACCATCTCTGGGCCCTTTTGCTCTCTGCCTCTGTTTCTCCCTCCAGATCGCTCCAACACTCAGTGGCTTTTTCTTTCTCTCTTTCTCTCCTATACCCAGTGGGCTGCTGCTTCTTCTTCTTCTTTTAAATTTTTATTGTGATTTGGGTGAACATTGACAGAGCAATTTATTTTCCACACAGCAGTTCACACACATTTTTTTCATGACACTGACTGCAATCCCCACCCTGTAACAGCTCTCTTCCCACTTCCTCCCCATATTTACCTCTTCCCTGTGTCCTTCCCTCCCATGCGCTCCTGGCCCCTGAACTGTCTCCCTGTGCAAACACTGCCCTTCTGTTCTCCCATGGTTGATCACTCCAAGGAGCATATCTACCTGATGTAAGCGTTCACCCCATTTGACTGTCTGTTGTTTGGCTGGAAGTCATGGCAGTGAGTTCAGTTCCAGACCTGAAGGGTAACCAGGGGCCATAGTGCCTGATATCTCACCAGGGTCTATCAGACCAGCACACCTGGTCTTTTTTTTTTTTTTTTTTTTTTTAAGACTTTGAGTTTCGGTCGCCACGGTTCTCCCACTCAATCCAGGATCTCCAGCACCGCTCAGTGGAGTTTTGAATATGGACCGCTTGCTTTGGTTCTTGTTGCCTCCACCATTCCCACCAAGGCACCGGGTGGCTGCTACATTCAACTTCCAAATCCCCAGCCTCAGAATCACCTGGGGCTGACCTTCAGTTATTCTGCGGACAGCCGCGAGGGGGCGCGCGGAGCGCTGGTTCTGCGCACTGAGTGTGAAGCCCTGGCGCTGTGCCTGGAAGCAGGGCGAGAAGGGAAGTTCACTTGCTGCTGGACCCATCCCACCACGGAGTGGAGAGCTGCTGCGGGACTAAATCAGCGCCCAGTCAACAGCGAGGAAAATGGTCACTCGGCGCGGCCCAGACTGCAGGAGAGGGTGCTAGGCACA